CGTACGATAACAGCCGTACGGGCCGGTGTGCGCAAGCGCACACTGCCCGTTCGGCATTGCGGTCATCGGAAGCCCGCCCCTCAGGGGGCGTGGCTTGGAATCATCGCAAGTACGATCTGCCAATGCAAGATAGGCAGATCGTACGTTTTTTTAAGTACCTTACAACCATCGCAAGATAAAAGTCTTGCGATGGTTGTAAGGTGTGTGCCCAGCCTTAGGGAGAGTTGTGGGTATGCAAGAGGCACACGATGACAGGTAGACTCTGCTGCGTGCATGAGCACAAGGTGACACAGCCAGGAAGGCTGGAGAGGTCCAGAGGGTCGGTGACCCTGAGATCCCTGTCGGGAAGACAGAGAGGGACAGTGACCCGCGAGGGTGAATACCAAAAGTCTTGGAGCTGAGGGAAACTGCTGAGGACGGTAAATCCAGGGTAAGTCCTGGGACTATAACACTGGGAGTGTATGGGACAGCCAGATGTCGGTGAGACCCAAAACATGATGTGTTAATGAGAGTCCAATGAACTGTTATGCTTTGTTTATGCTGAAGAAAAGCAAGTTATGTTGTGATGTTCATGGACTGTTGACCTTTTGAATGAATAAAGACTGTCCTTTTATGTTAAAGTCGGCTTCAGGAGTGGTCACTTAGTGCTTATCATTGTGCTATATTCCCCGAATTATCACAGTACATAAGCATACGCTCTTCCATGCCCCCATTATATAGACCAGGGGTAGTCAATGTCGGCACTCCAGCTGTGGTGAAACCACCAATGCCATCATTGCTCTGCCTCTGGGAGTCGTGCCTGTGGCGGTTCATGCTTGTAATGCCTCGTGGGACTTGTAGTTCCATATCAGCTGGAGTGCCAAGGTCGCTACCCTTGATGTAGACCATGAAGTGCACAACAATGATTGATTAACAAGTTCATGTCCTCACTGCTACTTTTCCTTTATACCGGCTTTTAAAAAATAAATGAAATTGTCAGGGATACCGGCACAGGTGACCCCACACCTGCGCAGGTACCCGCACAGGCAGACCAAACACGTGTGACCACACAGGACAAGGCAGAATGTATGATTATTATTATTGTTATTACATAGTATTTATATAGCGCCAATAGTTTGCACAGCGCTTTACAATATAAGGAAGACATTACAGTCACAATACAATTCAAGACAAGATGGCAAGGAGGGCCCTGCCCCTGAGGGCTTACAATCTAAAAGGGGAGGGGCCAGTGATACATGAGGAGGTAGCTGCGGGGGGATGATATACCGTTTATTATAAGGAGCAAAACATAACACAAACCAAGCACGTACAAATGGATAACATAAAGTAACCAAAGCTATGAGCAAACCACAGAACACCCACACAGGGTATAACAGGGCAGGAAAACCTGGGGAGCAGGGCAACAGGATTCAGGAACAGAAGCAGGTCACAGGACTCAGGAACAGAAGCAGGTTACAGGACTTGGGAACAGAAGCAGGTTTACAGGACTTGGGAACAGAAGCAGGTTACAGGACACAGGAACAGAAGAAGGTTACAGGACTCGGGAACAGAAGCAGGTTACAGGACACAGGAACAGAAGCAGGTTACAGAACTCGGGAACAGAAGCAGGTCACAGGACTCGGGAACAGAGCGAACACATACCGGCGTTCGCTCACCTGCCGTGACAGGGGAGGGGCTGGATTCCCCTCTCCCCGCTCCGATCCGCCAGCACTGACTGGCGGAATGTATGGGGGAGGGGGCAGGTACAGCTGGCTCTGCCTCTAGATAGGCAGAGCCAGCTGTCAGTCACGCAGCTGGGCGGATCCCGGCACAATTGTCGGGATCCGCTTCAGCTGCGGCGTCTCAGTATACCGCGAGCTGTAGCTCCCTATATACTGAGCCTAGGGTGACGGGAGGACGCTAGTTTGTGTCCTCCCGTTACCCTAAGGAGAACTATGGGGAAAAGCCTTAACCCCATAGTTCTCCTATAAGTACCCTCCCAGGAAGCACCAGGTGATGGCTAAGTGCTTGCAGCTGGGAGATACCCGCAGGTGAGCACTGGAGTTGCAGTTTCCAGCACCACCCAGTGGAGGTCCGGTACCTAACAGTTCCTGGCTGCCTGGAGACACCTGCAGGTGAGTACAGAAACTGCAGGGCTTAGCTCCAGCGCCACCTGGAGGCGCTCTGGATCCTAACAGAAATACTTGGTTGGAGGAAAGGTTTGGGGCAGGGGTAGCCAAACTCCGGCCCTCCAGCTGTGATGGAACTACAAATCCCATGTGGCATTGCAAGATTCTCAAAGCTACAGACATGACTCCTGGAGAGAGATGCATCATGGGATTTGTAGTTTCACCACAGCTGGGGGGCCGGAGTTTGGCTACCCCTGGTTTGGGGCATTATAACACTTTTAATACTGAAATAATTCATTAATGATAGAGTTCTATACATCACACCAAAAAGAGGGGCACCTGAGTAGGAAAGCAGGACGGTGGGATTAGGTTCTAAACCAGGGACAGTTGGGAACTATAGCAGTTGGGTTGACGCCTCTATTTGTAGCCTTCTACGACTAGAAAAAAAAGATTGTTCAGCATAATTACCAACAGCTATAAAATGGATAAAAGTGTCCAGTAACATCAGAAGTCTCATATTTTTAAAAACCATGCAATAAAGACATAAACTATACAACTATAGAACACAAGTCCTACATGATTACTCCTAGGGAACAGTGTGTAGACCAGGGTGGAGTTCAGTACTCAGTGTCGTAATTGTACAATGTCAGGACTGTTCAGACTTTACTTTAACCACATCAAGACCTACTTCAGATCCCGGCAGCCATTTGTGAACATCTTCACAAAGACAATCAGGGTCTATGACATGGGCAGGACCGCAAAGCTTTTGTTCCAACAAAGACTCTGAACCTGACCTTGTTCTGAAGGAGTTTCGGTGAAAATGGAGCAATTAATCTGTATTGTGAGGAAGACTAAAGATGTAGAGCACCCAACCTGTCCGACCAGTGGCCATTGTCTGGGGAGATAAAAAGAGTCTCACCCATGATGGGGTAGACAGTTCACTATCATGGAGATATGAAAAAAGAGGCCAACGCTGGCAATAATAGATTAACATTTTCCCGGGATTAAAGTAAACTGTCCAGTAACGTTATGAGTAAATTCCTGACATGTCACTATATACAGAAACAATACAAGTTTACACAAAAGAAGAAAAAATGTTGTGCAAGGTTACAGGGACTCAGAGGACAAAAGGAACACACCTAACAAGAGTGAAAACATACACAGTAAGATCAAGTGATTGCGGACACCTTTAGGTCTGGTAGGAATTTTAAGTGGGAACTCCACCCCCAAAAATTAGGAAAGAAACATGCCCCCCCAAATTCCCAACCAGACCCTTAATCCGAGCACAGGCCTGGCAGAAAAGGGGGGGATGAGCGAGCGGCATTGGGAGGGTGCTTTTCCTGGGTCCCCCCTGGAAAAGCACCTTGTCCCTGTGCCGATAGGGACAAGGGCCTCTTTCCCACAAGCCCTGGACGGTTGGTTGTGGGGAGTCTGGGGGCAGGGGGGCTTATGTGCATCGGGGGGACCCCCTTCATAAAGGGAGCACCTAGATGCTGCCCCCCCCTTGTGAATGAGTAAGGGGTACTTGTACTCATTCACCAGGGGGGGTACTTGTACCCCTACTCATTCACTACAGGGTTAAAAGTAAAAAGTAAATAAACACACCAGACTTTAAGAAAAAATCATTTAATTGAAAAAAAACAAAGGTTTTTTTGACAATTCCTTTAATAAAAAAAATAAAAAACACCCACATTTTTTTAAATGGATCCACCGCGGTAATCCAAAAGTCAATCACTACATCAAGCATTGTCCACGACGACAATGACTCCTCGAAATTGAAAAAAAACCTGACGCCCGCCGACCCGTCTGCACGCAACAAATTCCCGCCGCAAAATGACATTCTGACAGATGAAGAAAAAATATAAACAATTGGGTGGAGCTAGCAGTGACTTCACCTCTAGCTCCGCCTCGCTGTTTTTCATTTGTCCGCCAAACTCTTCCCACAGGTCCTGGCCAAATGAAAACAAATTGGCGGTGTCGGCCATAACGTCACCACCAGCTCTGCCCATTTGTTGTCATTCAATGACAGGCCAATGAATTGTCCCCCTCTTTCCTGCCCTGCCGGGCCTGTGCTCGGATTAAGGGTCTGGTTGGGAAATTTAGGGGTGACCCCACTTTTTTCCCCCCAAATGTTTTGGGAGTGGAGTTCCTCCTTAAAATTCCTGCCGGACCTTAAGGGCCTGGAATGAATTTGGGAGGGAACCTCAAACACTTTTATTTTATTTTTAACTCGGGGGGGTCCCTCCTAACTATCCTAACAGACTTAAAGGGTCTGGTATGGATCGGGAGGGGGCAACACGCTGTTTTTTGTTTTTTTCCTCTTTGTTTAGATTATTGCGGGGAGAACCATTCGGCAGACCTTCAGCAGACAATTCTCCCCCTGCTTCGGCTGTGTGTTCAGTACAGCCAAGCCGAAGCATATGCGTCCGGCCCGGCTGAGCCGTTCGGCTGCCTTCGGGTGCTGTATGGGCTATTGTGCATATTGTGAATGACCCGTACAGCAGCCCCTCGATCCGGCTGAACCCGAAGGGCTCTGGTGGCCATAGTGAGCTAAAGGATTAGCCGAAGCTACAGCTTTATCCTTCGGCTCTTTAGTGAACGACCTTCAAAGTCTTTTTTTTTCCACAACGGAAACTCAACAAGTGAAAATCAGTAATGAGAGCTGCGTCAGCTGAAAGGGTTAAATCATTTTACAATTTGTTTGCCCTTTTAGTGCTTTGTTTATAGGTGTCACTTTATGGGGGGTTAAGGTTCCATCCGGCTACACAAGAGGAGAAACCCGAGGACGGCGTATCATAAATACATCATTCCAGGAATGAGAACTTTCAATAGAAGCTGAGATTCAGGAAGAGAGAAATCTGTCCTCGGCTCATCACCCTCCACTCTGCACCAATGGGGACGCTCGCTGTGCTGCTGACCTTGATGGCCTCAGGTAAGCTTGTCACCTACTTGACCATTCAGCAGACAGGTCAGGGCTGGGGGCGAGTCTCAGGTGAGCAGTTGGCCACAATAACTGAGCAGGTTTAATATAAACCCCAAAATTCTTTACTCCTGGAAGTGAAGTTATGGGATAGAACCTGCGTTGGGTAAGGGAAAAGGGATAGAACCTGCGTTGGGTAAAGGATAAGGTATAGATCCTGCATTGGGTAAGGGATAGAACCTGCATTGGGTAAGGGAAAAGGAATAGGACCTGCGTTGGGTAAGGGAAAAGGGATAGAACCTGCGTTGGGTAAGGGATAGAACCTGCATTGGGTAAGGGATAGAACCTGCATTGGGTAAGGGAAAAGGGATAGAACCTGCGTTGGGTAAGGGATAGATCCTGCATTGGGTAAGGGATAGAACCTGCATTGGGTAAGGGATAGAACCTGCATTGGGTAAGGGAAAAGGGATAGAACCTGCGTTGGGTAAGGGATAGATCCTGCATTGGGTAAGGGATAGAACCTGCATTGGGTAAGGGATAGAACCTGCATTGGGTAAGGGAAAAGGGATAGAACCTGCGTTGGGTAAGGGATAGATCCTGCATTGGGTAAGGGATAGAACCTGCATTGGGTAAGGGATAGAACCTGCATTGGGTAAGGGAAAAGGGATAGAACCTGCGTTGGGTAAGGGATAGATCCTGCATTGGGTAAGGGATAGAACCTGCATTGGGTAAGGGATAGAACCTGCATTGGGTAAGGGAAAAGGGATAGAACCTGCGTTGGGTAAGGGATAGATCCTGCATTGGGTAAGGGATAGAACCTGCATTGGGTAAGGGATAGAACCTGCATTGGGTAAGGGAAAAGGGATAGAACCTGCGTTGGGTAAGGGAAGAGGGATATAACCTGCATTGGGTAAGGGATACGGGATAGATCTTGCATTGGGTAAGGGATAAGGGATAGAACCTGCGTTGGGTAAAGGATAATGGATAGAACCTGCATTGGGTAAGGGATAAGAGATAGATCTTGCATTGGGTAAGGGATAGAACCTGCGTTGGGTAAGGGAAGAGGGATATAACCTGCATTGGGTAAGGGATACGGGATAGATCTTGCATTGGGTAAGGGATAAGGGATAGAACCTGCGTTGGGTAAAGGATAATGGATAGAACCTGCATTGGGTAAGGGATAAGAGATAGATCTTGCATTGGGTAAGGGATAGAACCTGCGTTGGGTAAGGGATAAGGACTAGAACCTGCGTTGGGTAAGGGATAGAACCTGCATTGGGCTTTTATTCTTGCATCTCCATCTACATGGCTGTCACACCGATCCATCAACTTTGGGATTTCCTGATACTCTGATTGGATCAAGCACGCAAAGCAAGTGTTCTCACTTCACTTGCTGCATTCATGTTCCAAGTCACTGACTCAGAAATGAAAGCAGGGAGAGCCGGGCACCTAGCATTTTTAAAAGAAGATCAGGAATGGCAGCACCATGTTTCTCTCAACCGCCATTCATTAATGCAACCCTATTGGTATTCTTTTGGTTGAACCCAATGGACTTGTGTTTTTTTTTCAACCTAACTGTGTAACTATATAACACATAAGAGGTCCATTTTTAAAGCAGTAAAGGTTTCTTTCACTTAACATTCTCTGGTGGAGAACCAATTGACAATCACTCTCATTGAAAACACAAGTAAATGAAGGCGAGGCGCTGGATACAAATTTTTAGCAAATCAGTCAGATACATTTTTTGGCAGCTCTGCCATGATGGAGGGGGTACTCTGAAGAGTTTCATTACAGGGTCATCCTGGTAGGCGTTTCCATTTAAGCATGTCACCTTCCTGTGGCCCCCCCAAAAATGTTGCACTCATATGTTTTTACCATTGGGTCTGATTTACGTGCTGGCTCATATCACCTCCATCCTTAGGGAAACGTGTTGAGAATATGAGCCGTTGCGGCAGTACTCACCTATGAAGTACCGCGTTCCTTTATGTTGGGACCGTTCGATTGATAACGTACGATGAATGTTTATTTGTGTTGGTGCCGATTACCAAGAGACTGTATGACCTATGAGGAAGTTCTTGAGGTAAAGCGCGGCAAACCTTTTACCAGTTAACGTGTGTCTTTAATGAACCTATAAGTATGTCTGGTTTTATGATACAGTATATGAGAGGCTTACTTCTGGACCCCACTTATTTTTATTTATTTTTTTATCAGAAAAGTTTTTATTGGGTTTTCCAACAATACAAAAACTGAAAACATTCAGATAAACATTTGCCTGTGATCGTAACATATATATATACACAATGTGGATTGCTTCTAATACATCTACATAGTGATCGAATACAGCGTGTATCCGTCGCCTAGTTAGGCAATGCACCCAAAAACACAACAAAATAACTCAAATAACAATCAGCATCGTAATTGACAAAAAATTTAAAACAATATCCAGGACCTTACATAGGGGGATATCTCTTTACGGACCCCACTTATTTTTATATGTAAGGGGTGTATGGTGCTATCCCCGAGGACCTTGGCACATTAGTATAGTAATACAGATATGCTTTTGGACATCTGTCTTCAGTTGACTTTTAGTTTTGGTCAATTTCTGCAATACAGGGAATGTATTTGACCAGCATGTCCCACAGACTTTCACAGCCAGTTATATTCTCTGTGTTTAGAAACATAACCTTATTTTTTTAGAGGAATCTACAGAGTTATCTAGTTCCTTTGGAATTCCACACCTGCAAAGCTCTTATTGTAAAGAATCCTTCCTATGTGCAGAGGTTAAACATTAGACTACATACGACACCCCGTAGACCTTACATGTCCCCCCGTGACCCTAAAAGGAGAACTATGAGGTGAGAGCTTTTCACTCACCTCATAGTTCTAGCTGACCTGTGACAATGAGACTGTCACAGGTCGGCTCAGTAGATCGGGAGGTGAGCGAACACATGCCGGCGTTCGCTCACCTCTCGATCCTGTCACGGCTCTCTGCCATGACAGGGGAGGGGATGGATTCCCCCCCTCCCCGCTCTGATCCTCCAGCGCTGACTGGCGGAACAGACGGGGGAGAGGGCGGGTACAGCTGGCTCTGCCTCTAGATAGGCAGAGCCAGCTGTCACTCACGCAGCTGGGCGGATCTCAACATCGATGTCGGGATCCGCTCCGGCTGCGGCGTCTCAGTATACCGCGAGCTGTAGCTCCCTATATACTGAGCTTAGGGTGACGGGAGGACGCTAGTTTGTGTCCTCCTGTTACCCTAAGGAGAACTATGGGGAAAAGCCCTGACCCCATAGTTCTCCTTTAAGAGAACTATGGGGAAAAACACTTACCCCATAGTCCTCATTTAGGTCCTGATCTACCAACTGGATGTTGGAAATACTCCCGCATCCAGTTGGTAGATCAGGACATCAGGTATCCAATCCCAAAAGCGAGCTTGGAGCGGTGACAACTTTACAACCCACACAGGGACCATGGGGAACAGAAGTAGCCCCCCTCCAGAAGGAAGGACAGTGTCAGAGATGATTGGAGGAGTGATACACAAATAAGTATACACTTTTGTAAAAAATAAATCAAGGCAACTGGACTTGCCGTATTTTTTTCTTGAAGACGTTTCACTGATCATCCGACCACCTTTCTCAATTCAGAATCATAGTTAGGCAATGCACCCAAAAACACAACAAAATAACTCAAATAACAATCAGCATCGTAATTGACAAAAAATTTAAAACAATATCCAGGACCTTACATAGGGGGATATCTCTTTACGGACCCCACTTATTTTTATATGTAAGGGGTGTATGGTGCTATCCCCGAGGACCTTGGCACATTAGTATAGTAATACAGATATGCTTTTGGACATCTGTCTTCAGTTGACTTTTAGTTTTGGTCAATTTCTGCAATACAGGGAATGTATTTGACCAGCATGTCCCACAGACTTTCACAGCCAGTTATATTCTCTGTGTTTAGAAACATAACCTTATTTTTTTAGAGGAATCTACAGAGTTATCTAGTTCCTTTGGAATTCCACACCTGCAAAGCTCTTATTGTAAAGAATCCTTCCTATGTGCAGAGGTTAAACATTAGACTACATACGACACCCCGTAGACCTTACATGTCCCCCCGTGACCCTAAAAGGAGAACTATGAGGTGAGAGCTTTTCACTCACCTCATAGTTCTAGCTGACCTGTGACAATGAGACTGTCACAGGTCGGCTCAGTAGATCGGGAGGTGAGCGAACACATGCCGGCGTTCGCTCACCTCTCGATCCTGTCACGGCTCTCTGCCATGACAGGGGAGGGGATGGATTCCCCCCCTCCCCGCTCTGATCCTCCAGCGCTGACTGGCGGAACAGACGGGGGAGAGGGCGGGTACAGCTGGCTCTGCCTCTAGATAGGCAGAGCCAGCTGTCACTCACGCAGCTGGGCGGATCTCAACATCGATGTCGGGATCCGCTCCGGCTGCGGCGTCTCAGTATACCGCGAGCTGTAGCTCCCTATATACTGAGCTTAGGGTGACGGGAGGACGCTAGTTTGTGTCCTCCTGTTACCCTAAGGAGAACTATGGGGAAAAGCCCTGACCCCATAGTTCTCCTTTAAGAGAACTATGGGGAAAAACACTTACCCCATAGTCCTCATTTAGGTCCTGATCTACCAACTGGATGTTGGAAATACTCCCGCATCCAGTTGGTAGATCAGGACATCAGGTATCCAATCCCAAAAGCGAGCTTGGAGCGGTGACAACTTTACAACCCACACAGGGACCATGGGGAACAGAAGTAGCCCCCCTCCAGAAGGAAGGACAGTGTCAGAGATGATTGGAGGAGTGATACACAAATAAGTATACACTTTTGTAAAAAATAAATCAAGGCAACTGGACTTGCCGTATTTTTTTCTTGAAGACGTTTCACTGATCATCCGACCACCTTTCTCAATTCAGAATCTGTTGCCTTGATTTCTTTTTTACAGATATACCATGACCTGGATGAATGAGAACCTTCACAGACTAGATACACTTTTATTAATAGTTAAGGGACTTGAATGGATTTTTAAGATTTAATTCCAGAGTTTAGTGTCACTTTTATAAAGATGAGATTCTGAAGCTTAAGGTGTGCTGACAAGAGATCTTTTATTAGTTTGATGTGGCGCCATCTACCAGTTGTTCCAGCACCCGACTAACGAGGGTTACAAAGTGTGCGCGGGAAGGAGATATAACCACATCTTATATCATCCCCACACCAACCTACGTCTCTTATGTTCTATAGCTGGGAGGAATGATGTACTTGATGGATGGGTGACATCTTGTGGCTGCTTTTGAGAAAGTTCTGTTTGGCTTCTGTTGAGAATTACAGTATAAGGCTGCTGTCCAGAAACAAGGGAAATGGATTGGGGCAATTGCCCATTGGCACTAGTAAGGTTTTATCTATGTGACTGCTGGGTCAAAGGTCCAGGTTTCCTAGCTCAGCATTTTATATATTGCCTTTAACATTGACCAAGAAGAGCTATATCCAGGTGAATTATAATGCTGAATCTCCACCATGAAAACCTTGTACGAGTAAAGCGAAAACGATGAAATGAGAGGGAAGGAGTAAGTTATTCGTTAACATTTTCTGACAGATCATTCCCAGATTTTGAAATGTCGGCGTCAATAATTAAGTGAACGTTGACCGAGCAATAAAATGACGTAAAGAAGAAGATAGGCAAAGGCTATAAATCCATCTATGTGCTCATTAAGGAATAAATAAGTGTATTTTAACATCTAGCTACTATACACGCCCGTACACACCTGGTTGCAAAGTTCTCAGGAGGTTCAGCAAATCTCGTAGACATTCCAATTCCCAGGAACCCAGAACATTGCCTGTTGAAGTCTATGGACGATAAACCTTGTTATTTGTTTCTAGCTTTTTTAAGGCTAATTTGCACGTTTTTGAAAAAGAAAAGTGCATGGCTGGCTGGGCATTGCCATGAGGAACATATACCAATGAAAAAAACCCCTAAAAAATGCTAAATACGATTCAGTGTGGGGAAGGTCTTTTAATGGGGCTTAAAGGGCAACAATTAATATACCCAAATCCTATAAATAACATGCTTGGGGGATGCCCTAAAGACCCATGTGAAGTTACAGTCCTGTAAAAAGAGTCTGAGGTTTCTCCAACAAAACCCTTATCCAGGCATGCAGCCTGGGTGGCCACAAAAGGGAGGTCAGAGAGCATGGGATCCCCCCTTCCTGTACCATACCAGGCCACATGCCTTTCAACATTGGGGGGATACCTTGCAAAGCAGGGTGGCAAGGCCTGACCCTCCTGGTAAGGCACCTTGTACCAGTGTTGGTGTCTTCCCCACATCCTAAACCTTAAAAGGGATGTGAGGGCTTGGTGAGGATTATCAGAATAAGGGGGCTCCCAGATATCCACCTCCCAGAATAATGAGTGAGGGGTACATCGGTACCACTTATTGCTCATTTTTTTTAAAAACAATAACATGAAAATAAAGACACACAATGTGACAAAGTCCTTTAATTAAAAATAAAGTCCCCCAATGTAAATTCATAATTAATCACATCGTCCAATGATGTCATTCCATCTCCAGTCATTAAAAAAAACAACCACCTGATGATGTTTCTGAAACACCATGTCGGCCTTAAGCCCAGCAAAGTGTCCCCATCGCACTACCATGGTTGAATGACAGATCCCCGGCTGCTGTATGTGAACAAATAGGAAACATCATTGACCCAATATGTCATATATGAGAAGCCAAACCCTCATGCCCGGACCACTCTGTAAAGGGAGGACTATAACTCCAGTCTAACAGAGATCCCAACTTGGGACATCCGCAGCAATCAATTAACAGAGAACAGCTATGCCCGGGAGGTAGACCATCCTCCTATAAAAGTCCAGGGTCACACCAGAAGCCCAGCACAGCTCAATGGCTGCTCAATGCCTTTAGTATCTGTCTTCATTAATCCATGAATCCAAATGGCAACCACCCAGATGAATATATACAGAGTGAGGCTTATTCTGACTCCGATCGTTGTGATAGCAAAATATATCCCTTGCTGAGACCTCTATGCCTGGCCTGTATAAGCAGATATACTCACTGCGGACAATCCTCGTCAGAAGGCACTTCGAATAAGTCCTTCACTGGATGTGCATGGTGCACGTAGGTACCTGAAGAACATGGCTCATGTAACTCCAGGTGCAAAGTCTCCATGTGAAACAAGCACAGTTCCAATCTTCTGCATGCGAAGAACTCACATGGGCAGGACAGTTCACAGAAAAATACAATACACAAATTCCCCAGAACATGGCCTCAGCATTGGAGAAGGACTGAGGGCATTTCTTGGGCTGACCTGTGGTAGGACAGGGAGAATGGGTTTGTTTTTGGGTCTGCAGTTCTTCTTCATTGATGCATGTGGCCGGTACCATTGGTTTTATTGTTCATTAACCAAAAAACAGCTTCCGTGTACTTTTTGTTAGAGAATTAATTACTTTATTTTACTGACTAAAGAATTCTCCTCCTTTTTTTTGTATCCATGCAGTCCGCCAGGTTCTTTCCGTGGACAACCTTCCAGTGTGCGGCTCTCCTGTGATCTCCAATCGCATAGTTGGAGGTGTAGACACTTTGGATGGGGAGTGGCCGTGGCAAGTCAGTCTGCAGTATGCTAACATGCACGTCTGTGGGGGCTCCCTGATCTCACCCCAATGGGTGCTGACCGCGGCACATTGCTTTGACGGGTGAGTGTGTCTTCTTTATCTTCTCTTCTCTTTTCCCTCCTTAATTATTTACACCCATCAACAAAGACATATGTAGGTTACCATTGCTGACAAGTATTGATCTCGTGCTGATGCTTTGGCTTAACTCCACTTAAATCTAAATGTTGTCCTTCCCTCCCAGAGTGCAATGGTTTCCTCTGATCTCACTGCAAACTGTGAGCTTCTCACAATGGAATGACAGAATATATGGAGATTAAACACCAGCCTTGACTGGAATGTATAATTTACTGTCTGTGAGCATACATTTTAATTATTATTGTGTGAAACGATTTGTTAATCAACCAATATCACACCCAGTCACTGTGTGGAAAGGAAATGTGAATAAACAATGTATTTTCTTTTTAGCTAAGTCATGTGATCTCAGTGAGCTAACATGGTGATTGTTGGGATAAGAAGGTTACAATGGAGAATTATCACTGTGTTGTCCTGTGTAACCTAACAGACCATCGTGTAATATGTGAATTATACACTATGAAAGAACAGTGTGTAATTTCTCCGGATATGGATTGATAAAGCCTTTATTAGGTATTACCCGGATATGGTCCGTGTGCAGATCCTGTGTCTGGTACTCTTTGTAACAGAATGGTGTACATGTTGTTCCTAGGAGTGTTTCATATCTTTCTGTCATGCACTGGAACTAGAATAAAGACTGTTACAGAACAGACAAACAAGCCTATATTAGGATAGCCGGATATAGGCCGTATGTAAGTTAAGAGGTGTTTCTTCCTAAAACCGCTTACGTGTTATTTTAATCAAAGATAAGACTTATAACCATATATGGTACCATAACTATTTCTTTGTCTGAGGTGTATATAAACCGAGACCCGACGTCAATAAAATGAGCATATTGTGACTATCAAATCGTGTCTGTCATTTTGTGCTCCCGGAGCTCTGATAAGGGATTTCTCTGGTTGGTCCGATTAAAGGAGTCCACGTACCCTAACAGTGATCACATGGCTTTATTTGTAAACAAATCCATGTACAAATCTCGAAACAAATCAGTAAACTAAACCTGAGATTGTAGTCTATCCCAGGGGGGAGCTTGGAGCGGTGACTACTTTACAACACACACAGGGGACATGGGGAACAGACGTAGCCCCCCTCCAGAAGGAAGGACAGTGTCAGAGATGATTGGAGGATCTACAGCCGAGTGATACACAAATAAGACACATTGTTGTTCATAGTTAAAGGACTTGAATGCATTTTTAAGGTTGAACTCCGGAGTTTAGTGTCACTTTAATATAAAACCATATTCTTATGGAGCAATATCTGGGTGTAAGATGCCTTTCGGGGATTTTGGGGAGTTGCCAATGAAACAGCCAAATGGATTGAATAATTTTTCCTATTGTTCTCATGAAACATTTGCCAACTGCATCTTTGAATTATGATCTGAAGATGTGTGCTTGGCAAAGGAAAGGAATACATTAAATAGTCTTTCAACAATAGACGTGGGATCTGCCCTCCTCTTCAGACACGGGCTGACTGTCTCCCCCGAAGGGGGAAAGAAGACGGCTCCATGGTACATGAAAGTCTTGTTTTACGGGGAGCTACTGTACTTGTACATTTCATGTTAAAGGGAATCCATTATCAAAAATACATTTGGGATGTTTAGTTTCCATCCACAATTTTTCCATTTAGTTCACTCATCACTAAATTTAAACAAGAGAGGAAAAAAAAAAGATAGATCCAGAGATAGAAGCCATTTTTATCTTTATTTCTGATTATTTTTTGATAATATAAACTCTGCTAGGTGAGCAGATTTGCTTGTAAAGAGGCTCAGCATCAAGAGCATGCTCTCTCCTGGCAGTGTGCCGTTCATTGATGAGCTCAATGGTTGTCACATCGTTCTGATGTCCCTTATTTGACATTTACCATAAAATTATATCTACATTATGAATTATGGGTCATCAGCAAAAATAACGGGCCTATTAGTCCAATCCAAGGGGCCCCAAGATCTGGAGAAGTTTAGAGAAACCATCTTTGGGATCTAGTATGGCAGAAGGTGTGCTTCTAGCGGTTTATGATCACCCATGATTACATGGCTGCTGTCAGAGACCAGAACACCTCCAGGTGGCGCGGGAGCAGATCCTGCATTTCCACTGCTCGCCTGCAGGTGTCTCCAGGCAGCCAGTGGCTGTCAGGGACCTGAGCGCCTCCAGGTGGCACTGTGATGCTAGAACCAGGACCTGCAGCTCCAGGGCTCACCTGCAGGTGTCAGCAATTAGGCACCACCTGCTGATGATCTGGGAGGGTATTCAATCCCTCCCTGCAGTGAGCCTGATGCCACAGTATTGTCACCATTTCCTGTATCCTGTTTCCTGATTCCTGTGACCTGTTTCCTGCATCCTGGTGCCCCCTTGTACCCTGACCATTACTCCGTGTCTCCCCTTGTGTTGCCTTGCTCCTCAGGTTTCACTTGCCCTGTTGTATGTGATTGTGTTTGCATTTAGTTAGCTATTATTACTTGCTTGTGGTTACTTATGTTCGGTGAGTTGCATAAACTGTGTGCTCATAAGCATTGTCTGGTGTGGTCACACATTTGGTCCTCCCGTAGAGATACCTGTACGCGGTGTGGGGACACCCATGCACGGTATCCCCGACAGCTGCGTTGCAGCATATAAATTATAATTTTTGGCTCCTGCTAATGCAGAAATAGAGTTAAAGGAGAACTATGAGGGGGAGGGGGTGCTTTTCACTCACCTCATAGTTCTAGCCGACCTGTGACAATGAGACTGTCACAGGTCGGCTCAGTAGATCGGGAGGTGAGCGAACACATACCGGCGTTCGCTCACCTCTCGATCCTTTCACGGCTCTCTGCCGTGACATGGGAGGGGCTGGATTCCCCCCCACCGCTCCGATCTGCCAGCGCTGACTGGCGGAACGTATGGGGGAGGAGGCGGGTACAGCTGGCTCTGACTCTAGATAGGCCGAGCCAGCTGTCAGTCACGCAGCCGGGCGCATCCAGACATAATTGTCGGGATCTGCTTCAGCTGCGGCGTCTCAGTATACCGTGAGCTACAGCTCTCTATATACTGAGCTTAGGGTAACGGGAGGACGCCAGTTTGTGTCCTCATGTTTCCCTAAGGAGAACTATGGGGAAAAGCCTTAACCCTAAAGTTCTCCTTTAAAGAGGCAGGTAAGGGCAGATGTCAGCCTTGTTTTCATTTCCTGTGTGCAGTTACAATGTAGATGCTCCCAGAAATATTTGCAAATTTGCTTTTTTTTTCTGAATGCATTAACAATGTGAATTTGTTTAAAATGACAGTAATGTTTAGGTGTGTGTGTGTGTAGAAGAAGGTTGTGATACAAGTTTGTAAGGTTTTAGGAGAGACCGCTATTCTGAAGTGGAGATATTTGCACTGCAGTACATCAACCAGCCGATGACATCTTAGTGATTATCTGTCCTTGTCTCTCTACAGATCTGTCCTAGCAGAGTTGTATACAGTATATGTAGGCCCATACAAGCTGTTTACGGATAATCCCAACTCACGCATCAGCGTAGAAAATTACTTTCCTAATGCTAATTATAAAGACACCGGAGACATTGGGGACATCGCCCTGGTGAAGTTGGCCAGTCCTGTTAATTATACTCAATACATCATGCCCATCTGCCTGCCATCTTCTTCCGTCACCTTCCCCTGTGGCATGGAGTGCTGGGTGACTGGCTGGGGGACAACATCCTACCTAGGTAAGTCCAGGAGATTGTAAGTACAATGCATTTCATCCATCTTTGTGAATATACAGGCAGTGCCGGGGTTACAAACAAGATCGGTTCTGTAGGTTTGTTCTTAAGTTGAGTTTGTATGTAAGTTGGAACAGGTAAATTTTTTAAGTGTAACTCCAGCCCAATTTTTTTAGTTTTAGTTTTGGGTGGCATAGGGAAGGGTTTACCCCCTGTAAAGTTTGTGTTGCTGCGTGTGCCCTTGTTCAGAAGATTTCACCTCACTTCCTGTCACTGTGGCAATTGGATTTTGAAAATGTTGGGTTGTCGTGGAAACAAGGATTGGTGATAAAGCTTCAGCCGAGACACCTTTTTCCCGTGATCACCTATACAGGAGTGGATTTCCCTTCCTAGATGTAGATGTCCTTTCACTTCCTGTTGTCTCAAGGACAGGAAGTGAGATTAAATCTTTCTAATGAGGATACAGACAGCAGTAAAAACCTCACAGTGACCCGGAAGAAGAGGCGGACACCCCTCGTCTGCATGTCTAACAAGAGCCAACTTCCTGCAATGTGCGTACAGTACTACAAACCAGACCCAAAAAGGGTGGGCACGAGCGCGGTAGCATTACAACTACCCCTGCTGTATACTAATAGCCTCCGTTTGTAAGTAGGAGTCGGATGTAAGTCGGATGTTTGTAACTCGGGGACTGCCTGTAATGATTATTTGACTACATCAGCTACAAATGTATCTTCTTTTTTCGGGCTCCTTCTTTGCCGCTGTTAACCAATAGCATTTCATGGAAATAGGATGTAGAAGTTACATGGAGACGGCATCCTAGAAGAACAACATCAAACCAAGAAAGAGTAGACATGATAAAAAAGATACAAGAATTAGAATAATCTAGTAGAATAATATTTGAAGTGTATATTAAACCTTACAATGAACTTCTATTTGCTTACGTTTGGTCTATTAAATACACCATTGGAAGCTTATAGTTATATCTGTTCGATAAGTGCAAAAACATCCTTATTGACCCTGCCAGTAATCTTCTGTGCTGATAACTTTCTGTGCCCCCGGCATGTGCTACTTGTTATCAGTTACATGGTTCCCAGCAATCTCTCTGGACTACAGAACACCATCACCCTAGGTGATGCATATGAGTAGTGGGGGGAGTGTTATGGCTTGTCGTTCTTGGATAACATCATTGCACCCCTGTAGATACAGTACAGTTGGTGAGCGTTGTCACCCTAGGACAGATAGTGTGTTACTGGCAGAGTTGTCAGATGAAAAAAAGAATGAAATGATACTTACCTGTTTGGCCACTGATGACTCCAACCATTGCAGTGGTCCAGGGACATGCTGCAGGCATACAATATTCAAGCTGCAGATGCTTAAGATTCCGGAAACCTGCAAGAGAGCAAAGTTTAGGGCAAATGCACCCCTGAGCGATCTGCGATTGTGACACAATTGTGCACGATACTGCGCGGATTACCGCACAGTCACGGAGTCGCCCATCACTGACGATCACGCTGTGGGTGCCCTTATTTTATAATGGCACCCTTGTAGCTCTGGGCGGATCGTGCGGTTTCCCGCCCCGATTCCGCCGGTGCATCCGAACACGATCACAGCTAAAGCAGCCGTGCGTCGTGTATTGCAAAAAAAAAAAGGTAAATGTACTTTTTTTCTGCGATTGCCACGCGGATGTACCCCATTGAAATCAATGGGGCTGCGCGGCAATCGCTGTCTGCAATTGTGCACGACCACGCAATCCCGGGACGCACGTGCCGGATTGCTCTGCACCGGCCCTTAGAGTCACCAGCAGTAGAACTGGTAAGTACTCAGTGTGGAAAACTGGTTTTGAACAACTGACCTGTGACAAGGTTGTGCCTTGTCATTGTGTGATAAGGTCTAAAGGTGCCCTGGGTTCTCACCCTTACAGGTTGAGAGGCTCCAGGATGTATATTGCAGATGGAGAAAACTGTTATTTCAGTTTTCTCCAGCTTCGGTGGGATTAAGCCTCCAACCCTAGGTCCAAACCCAGGATTCTCACCCGTACAGGTTAAGAGGCTCCAGAATGTATACTGGTATTACGGAGGGAGAAAACAGTTTTTTCAGTTTTGTCTATGACTGATAAAAACTAGTCAGGGTCCTTGAACCCGGAGGCAGGGCCGGCTTTACAGTACTTTCTTTGCTGCCCAGGGCCAGGTTCCTCAATGCGCCCTCCTACCCGCCAACATACAGGAGAGTGGCAGACCTGCAGGCAGCATACAAGTGATCTCGGCAACATTGCTGAGATCACTTGTAGAAAACAAGTGGCAGCTTCCCTGCTGTACATTTAGCTCTGCTAGCCCAAAGCCGAGCTAAATGTAGAAAACAACTACCCACCCGGTGCCCAGAACTGCATGTCCCGGGTGTCGGGAGATAGGAATTCCACACCCCTGCTGCCCCTCTACTCCCTGCTGCCCCAATACCAGGCCTCGGTTGGCCTTGTGGCAAATCCGGCCCTGACCGGAGGATTTGGAGAGTCTTGGGTGGGATGATGCCTCCAACCCTAGGTCCTTGTTTTAATGTTGACCAGCATCTATTGATTGTGCATCTGTGCACAGCCCTTATGGTAAGGATGCTGGTAAGTGTTTGGGGCTCCACCTGGGAAACCGAGGAGGTCTCTACCTAGGAGTGGAGGCCAGAGAAGCAGGGAGCTGCAAGTCCCTTGCTGTGTGTACAGGTTAGCATGGCATTGGAGTACTATTTGGAGTAGAAGCGGACAAGAGCCTGAAGACCAAGGCCAAAACAGCCAGATGCTAAAAGTGAAAACCAGGATGATTCTGTGTTTATTTGGCAATGCATGGAGGTGATGGTGGAAAAACCCTGTGTGGGGAACCTATGTGGATCTGCAAACTGTCTTTTTGATTAAAAGCGGGCAAGGAAACCATAAAAAGATTTAAGTTTCTGGAGGTGTCCTTAATGCTCTACTATTTGAAACGAGTTATCACAGACCATTACACCTACGTATGTTAAATATCAGTGATGGACACTATAGAGAAGAATTTTCCCTGTGGTAGAAGAGCTTTATACTCACCTCTCTGCTGGCCTGTGTCTCCATCTATTTCAGTGTTGCAACCTCCCCCAATTTCCGTAGCAATCAGCACTTCCAAGAATGACGCATCGAATGCTGACAGTGTGGTTTCATCTTCCGACTCCTACTTCCCTACGGAGTCCTGTAGTGATGTAGGAACTGGAAGAAGGAACCATGACACGCGGCAACAGACACGGGCTTCCATCAATCACCGAAGTGTCCAATGCTGAAAAATCTTATGGTGGTTGCAGCGCTGGAATGGAGGGGAGGAAGGAGACAGGGGCTGGCGGTTAGGTGAGTATAATAACTCTTCTATTGCAGGTACAGTTCTTCTCAATTGTTTTTCCCCTGAGAGTGTCATTATAAATTACCATCAGTTATGCTTCCAAATATAAATGACAGATTACAAGTACAACCTTCCCCCCTAAAGCCAGTATGAGATATCGCACATTACAGGACTTATCTGTCTGAGGGAGTCTGAGGGAGCAAGGGCAAAGTGATAAAGAGCAGAAAAATTGGCCATTTCCATAGACTATCCCTCCATTATTAACCCCTCTCTCCACCCAACACCCAAGTCCATCCCAATCTTTAGGTGTTTAGAGTACTTGTTTTGTTCAGCTTTATAATCTTCTGGCTTTCTCTGTTCACTAGGGGATTCACCTGTAGATGGAACCCTCCAGAAAGTGATGACTCCACTCATTGACTACCAAACTTGTGACGCAATGTATCATGTGGACAGCGTGGAAGATGCGAGTGCGGTTATTATCCAAGATGAAAAGATATGTGCGGGCTACAGAAATGGGCTAAAGGACGCATGTCAGGTGGGTGACACTAAAAGGGGCTCATCTTTCACAATTTTGGAGGATTCTCCCTCCAATGGTAATAACTTTATCGATGTGTGTTAATGTTTTAAGAGACTTGTTACTGTGTATAATTTATATTTAGCAAGTCAGATCAGCAAATCCTCAGTTGCATATACAGGCAGTCCCCGAGTTACAAACATCCGACTTACATCCGACTCCTACTTAGAAACGGAGGCAATTACTGTGCAGCAGGGGTAGTTGCAGGCCTGGCGCTACCGCAAGGCAAGGCAAGCGGCCGCCTGAGGGCGTTGCAGGGTGAGGGCGGAAAAAAACGATGTTTGCTCTGTTTTTTTTTTTTTT